AAATATATATATATATATATATATATATATATATATATATATATATATATATATATATTTTTCCCTTGTGTGTGTGTGTGTGTGTGCATGATTTTTATTTTATTCACTCTATGAAGAGCAAAAATTACTAAGACACAGTAAAGTTCTGCTGGCTGTGCAATTAAAAACATAAAAAATTATTAAATAGTAGAACAATAGAACAGTAATCATGAAGACAGTTCTCTAACGATTGACATTGCATTTAAATTTTTGAAGATCAAATGTGTCACAAAGCATGGAGTTATAAGAATTTCCACAAGCGATAAATGAGCGAGAATAATAGAAGAAATAATCATATTTAAATTATAGAATAACTATTATATTGCATTTAAATGTTTGAAGATCAAACTTGACTACAAAGCAGTGAGCCGTGAAAAATTTCCAGAATCGAGAAGTGCATTCAATTAAAAGATAGCCTGTAAGACGTTTATTTAAGGAGGTTGTGGTGTGTCCGATACCGGTGTTTGTTATTTTTTTTGTTTTTTTGTTTTGTTTTTTTTCCCAAGTAACAGTCTTGTACTGAGCATTGGAATTGGTACACTATATTGGTCACCACTAGTTTATTTTTGGTGGAGTTATTTTGTTTGGTGACGACGAGGTTTGCCGTCTCCCAGTTTTCCGATGATTGCAGCAGAAATATGGTGTTTATTGTTTAAAATTTATCCTGTTTATGACTATTGTTCATCTGGTTGTAAGAATATATGTTGATGTTTTGTGGTGTTGTATTTTTGTTACTGGCGTCGTGTATTATTTTGTAAGAATATTTTTATTTGCTTATCAATGTTGGAATTGTGAAAATTATTATTGACTAGTGTTTGTTTTATCTGTTTTAGATTGCTTAGAAATCTTCATTGCAAAGAGGAATTTTGTTATGCTCTGCTTACAAAGTTTATTATCTCTGCTATTTTATATCTTTCCGGGCATCGACTATCATAGTTATAAAAACAATTGTTCGTACTAGTCGTTTTTTTTTTATAAGGTTAAGTTGTAACTTCATTGAATTTTAGCTCTATCTCGGCGTCGAGGAATGGGACCTTATTATGTAACATCGGTTCATATGTGAATTTTAATGTTGATTTTTCTTCAAAAGTTGATTTATTTTTGTTATTTCAACTTAATTTTTATCAAAACGATGTCATCCACTTACCTTGTATAGATTTCAGATATATCGGTTTGTTTTAATCTCTTTGTTTTCAATGTAGGACACGTAAAACTTAGCGAAAGCAGGACTTAAAGGGTTTCCCATGCTAGCACCGGCTTTGATATATATATTACCATTATGGTTATAGAATGGAGTTTTTGTAATACAAGCGTGGAGTAGTTTTTGGAGGGTGGCTGGTCGAATTTTGTGGGGTCGTATCGTTGGGTGTTTGTAGACGCAGTCACTAATTATGTTGATTGTTTCTTCAACTGGGATGTCGGTAAAGAGTTTCTCGACGTCCAGTGGGTGGGAATGTGACTGAAGCCGAGACACCTGGTCAGGACCATTAATATTGCTGCTGCTTCTTTCTATTTTATAAAGACGAGACGTGACAGCAATATTCATTGCATGAACGAGAGTTAGACTAATAGATTCAGTAGAGAAAGATTATCTTGCACGACACCGTGAACCAACGCACTTGATCTATCAATGTATTCAATGTAGTGTTTCCACATTATGTCAGCGGAGAAGGTTACCCCCAGAAAGCATGTCCTGGTGTTTAGCATCAACAATTTTGATGGGATTAGAAAGAGATCTCTCAGATGATTAATTGATAGCAGTTTTGTTTTGGAGGCTTTAAAATTAACAAGCTATCCCTTGCCTCAGATAGCAGCAGAATGTAGGTCATTTTTACATCAGCCGCGAATTCCACCATATCTATATATGATCAAGACAGGTGTAAATTGGTGTGTCATCAGCATAGATACTAAGTTGAGATCTGATGCCATCGGGAAGGTCATTGATGAAAATCCTTTCACGATTTGATAAGAAAAACTTAATCAGTTCGAAAAAAATCATTGAAAAATTAATACAACGTTTTGAAAATATATATATATATATATATATATAAATAAGTGGATATATATATGTTCTTTATTTATATATATATATATATATATATATATATATATATATATATATATATATATATATATATAAAAGAGGACATATATATATATTCACATGTTTCATTAAATAATAAAGACAAGTGTTGTCTATTTATTTTATGTAAATTCTTTTCATAACGTCTAATAAGCTTAATAACATTATCATTAAACGAAGAAAGAAAATCACAATATTGATCCATATATTTTAATCCAATCTAAGCTTTCGGCTTACATAAGCCATTATCAAAGATGACAATTACTGTACAATATATTAAGCAATATACAGACAAGACAGTGACGATAGTCTGTTTCTGTTTACATGGATGATTTCCAAGCAACGATAAACACGTGTATATAAGACGCTGGAAGGGAAAATCATGACGTCACACATGACGATCATATGATAAAATAAATTGACAACATTGTCTATATTATTTCATGAAACATGTATGAATGAAAAACCAATGCCTAAATACACAAATTTAAATTACATATCCATATAAATAATACTTTCAATACTTGGAATTATTTATTTGCCTTGTGAAAAGGCAAATTGAAATAAACAATAGAAAAATTAAACACCCTTAAAATTGACAAACATTTAGTTACCATAAACTATAATAACTTGTTTTTTGTATATATTTTAAATTATGAACATAGACTTTGATTTATTGTTTTCATGTTTTCTAATTCATTCGCGTTTTCATCAAACATACACACGGAAATTGAAAAAAAAAAATTGTTTTACTTGATGCATATTAAACATTTCAAAACAAAATTTACAAAATCGTGTAACAAGACGCGGAAGAAAATATCGCGTTCGAAGAAGAAACGTTCTACAATCGCATTACTACATAGAGGATAAAACGAGAAATATTAAACATATATTTTGATATTTATTAAATACCTAATATATCTGCAAAGATATAGAACCTAACAAAAAAACAAGGTTAATCATATATGTGTATTTATATTGATAATGATTATTCCCCAAACCCCGTTAGCTAAATTTGCAAAAAACCAACATAATTTATAAATTCAATTGCCTTTTGGGAGATTGTATTCTAATGGATTAAATAATATTTATGTTCGTCATATTTATAATCAAAATTTGTAACGAACAATTCTAGATTTGAATGATAACTCTGTTTTGTTTTTGAAAAATTTAAAACAACATGCCTGGCCGCTGTAAAATTTTTGAAAATTCTTGTTGAAAAAAAAACTATTTTAAACATGAAAACAATAAAAAAAAGCTAAAAATTCTTGAAGCTATATACATAAAACAAATTAAAACCTAACCTATTGTAAAATAAACTACGAAAATCTCCACAAATATTCTTAAATGTCTATAATTGATAACAATTGAATATATTGGTTGAATACCAACAATATTCCCCATAGTAATTCATCTGTACCATTCACTCTCGCGTGTTCATGACGTCACGAGCTGCGACGCATTTTTACTTCCGCGTTACATTTCTACACGCGTTTGTCGTTGCTTCGAAATTTGGAGGGTGGCTGGTCGAATTTTGTAAAATCGTATCGTCATTGAATTGTTTACACAGACACTAATTATGTTGATTGTTTCTTCAACTGGGACGTCGGTAAAGAGTTTTTCGACGTCCAGCACAGATCATAGTATGTCCTATTGGATTTGCTGCTTTCAAGATGTGGAGTGTCATTAATTGATGCTATGCTATGTTGTTTGGTGTATGCATTTAATGATGTAGTTGAGGGTTCTTGATAATAACCAATTTATCGGTTTTTTAAAAAAAAAAAGAATGGCAAAAGTTAAATTAATTGTTGCAATCAGGATTATATGTTATAATATCGATACAGGATAATGTGAAAACGCACCAATACATGTGACAAAAATGCATAACAAAATGAATGAAAAATAAAAATTAAAATTTTTTTCTGAAGATCAATAGAATGTTTTTTAAAAAGACAAAGGGTTAGAAGGAGATGATTATAAAAAAGAAAGAGAACGTAAAGAGAAGAAGTAGATGAATAAGGAGGAGAGGAAAAAAAAAAAAAAGAAAAGTATTTTTTTTTATTTTTTGATGAAAGGAATAAGAGGATGGCGAATGAGAGGTCTTTTATGAAGAAGTAAAAGCGCAAGACAGAGATTGAGAAATTACAGAAGAAAAAGGGAAATTTTGACAAAGAAACTGAAAAGGCATGAATTTATAATAATGATAATAATGATAATAATAATATGTAGAAGTAGCAGAAGAAGGAAAAGAAATGACATTGAAGAAGAATAATAAGAAGTACAAGAAGAAGAAGAAAATGAAGAAGAAGGAGAATAAGAAATAAGAGAAGAAGAATAAAAAGAAAAATCAGAGGAAGATGGAACAGAAGAAAGTTAAGAAGAAAAAAATGAAGAAAAACAGAAGAGAATGAGAAGAAGAAGACAAAGAAGAAGAAGAAGCAAAGAAGAAGAAAGAGAAGAAGAAGAAGAAGAAAATAGATGAATATGAAGAATAAATAAAAGAAGAAAAGAGAAGAAGAAGAAGTAGAAGAAATGGAAGAAGCAAAGAGAAGAAGAAGAAAAATGGGAGGAAGATAAGAAGAAGAAAGTAAAGAAGAAAGAAATGAATAATGGAGAGAGAAGAAGAAGAAGAAGAAGAAGAAGAAAAAAGAAGAAAGAAAAAAAGAAAAGAAGAAGAAAAAAAGAAAAAAGAAAAAGAAGAAGTAAAAGAAGAAGAAGAATAAAAAGAAGAATGGGAAGAAGATGAAGAAGAAGAAAGAAAAGAACAATGAAAAGAGAAGAAGAAGAAGAAAATTTTTTGAAGAAGAAGAAAAAAAGATGAATAAAAAGAATAAATAAAAGAAGAAAAGAGAAGAAGAATTAAGAAATGGAAGAAAAATTAAGAGAAGAAGAAAAATGGGAGGAAGATGAAGAAGAAGAAAGTAAAGAAGAAAGAAAAGAATAATGAAGAGAGAAGAAGAAGAAGAAGAAGAAGAAGCAAAGAAGAAAAAGAAAGAAAAGAAGAAAAATTGAAAGAAAAAAAAGAGAAGAAGAAGTAAAAGTAGAAGAAGAAATTGAAGAAGGAAAGAGAGGAAGAAATAAAAGAAGAAGAAGAATAAAAAGAAGAATGGGAAGAAGATGAAGAAGAAGAAAAAAAAGAAGAATGAAAAGAGAAGAAGAAGAAGAAGTAAAAGAAGAAATGGAAGAAGCAAATAGAAGCCGAAAAATTAAGAGAAGAAGAAGAAAAAGGAAAATGGGAAGAAGATGAATAAGAAGAAAGTAAAGAAGAAAGAAAAGAACAATGAAAAGAGAAGAAGAAGAAGAAGAAGGAGAAATTGAAGAAGCAAAGAGAAGAAGAAGTAAAAGAAGAATGGGAAGAAGATGAAGAAGAAGAAAGAAAAGAAGAATGAAAAGAGAAGAAGAAGAAGAAGAAGAAGAAGAAAAAGGAGAAAAGAAGAAGAAGATTGGTACACTGACGATGATTGAGATAGATTTTAAAATGATGTGCATTTATAATTATAATAATAACCATAACGAGAAGTGAAAGCTTAATAATAATAATAAAAATAATAATCGAAAAAGATACAAGTTTTAGTAACGATGAAGGAGAAAGCGAAAGGTAAAAAAGAAGGACTGTTAAATTACAGACGAATAAAGAAGAAGAAAAAAGAAGAAGGAAAATTTTTGAAAATAAGAATAAAGAAAAAGAAGGAAATCAACCGCGTAAAACTAAAAAAAATTCAAAGGCATTCGTCTGAATAAAGAAGAAAAAGAAAAGGAAAATTTGAGAAACGCAAAGGAAAAGGTTGAAGAAAGAAAGAAAGAAAGAAAAAAATTTTAAAAAATTAAAAAAAGAAAGAATGAATGAATGAATGAAAGAAAGAAAGAAAGAAAAAAGAAAGAATGAATGGAATAAAGAAAGAAAGAATGAATGAAAGATATAAAGAAAGAAGGAAAGAATGAAAGAAAGAACGAATGAAAGAAAAAAAGAATGAAAGAAAGAATGAATGAAAATCAAAAATGAAAAAAAAGAAAGAAAGAAAGAAAGAAAGAAAAATCCCCAAATGAAAAATAAAGAATGAAAAAAAATCTTTTGAATGAAAAAAAAAAGCCTGAAAGAAAACAATCTAAAAAAAAGAAAAGAAAAAAAGAATGAAAATGAAGAAAGAATGAATGAAAGAAAATTGATAAAAGAAAAAAAAAGAAAAAAAAGAAAGATTAGAAAGAAAGATTGAAAGAAGGGAAAAAAGAATGAAAGTAAAAAAGAAATTAAAAAAAAAGAAAGAATGAAAAGAAAAAAAAGAAAGAAAAAATAAAGAAAGAAAAAAATTATGAAATCGTTTAAAAAAAAAAAAAAGAAAAAATGAATGAAAGAAAGAAAGAAAAAAAAGAAAAAAGAAAAAGAAAGAATTTAAAGAAAGAAAAGAAAATAAGAAAGAAATGGATGAAAAAAAAAAAAGAAAAAAAAGAAAAGGAAAAAATTAAATTAAAAAAAGAAATGAATTTTTTTTTGTTTTAAGAATGAATGAAAAGAAATGAAGAATGAAAAAAAAATAAAGAAAAAAAGAAAATATTTGAATCTAAAATTGAAAGAAAGAAATGAAAGAAAAAATGAAAGAAAGAAAAAGAAAAAAAAAATGAAAGCTTTAGAATGAATAGAAAAAAATAAAAAAAAATGAAGACTCGTTAAAATAAAAATAAAAAAAAAGAAAAAGAAAATAAAAAAAAAAAAGAAAGAATTTTTTAAAGAAAGAAAAAAAATGAAGAAGGAAAAGAAAAGAATGAAAGAAAGAATTAAAAACAAAGAAAAAAAAAATAAAGAAAAAAAAAAAAAAAAAAAAATAAAAAAAAAAAAAAAAAGAAAGAAAAAAAAAATTGAAAGAATTAATGAAAAAAAAAATGAAAGAAAGAAAAAGAAATTAAATAAAAAAAATAAATGAATGAAAGAAATAAATTTATCTTCAAAAATAAAATAAAAATAAATAAGAAATGAAAGAAAAAATGAAAAGAAAAAAAAATGAATGAAAAGAAAAATGAAAGAAAGAATGAATGAAAAAAAGAAATGAATGAAAAAAATGAAAAAAAAAAAAAAAAAAAAGAAAAAAGAAAGATTTAGAAAAAAAAGAAAAGAATGAAAAAAAAAATGAAAAAAAAAAAAAAAGAAAAAAAAAAAAAAAATGAAAGAAAAAAAAAAAAATAAAAAGAGAAGAAAGAAAAAATAAAAAAAAAAATAAAAGAAATATTTTCAGAATGAAAGAAAAAGAAAGAAAATGAATGAAAGAAAGAATGAAAATTTAAGAAGAAAAAAAGAATGAAAAAAAAAAATTTTTAAAAAAGAAAATTGAATGAAAGAAAAGAAATAAAGAATGAAAAAAAAAAAAAAAAAAAAAAAAATAAAAAAAAAAAGATTGAAAAAGAAATGAAAGAATGAATGAAAGAAAAAAAAAAAAAAAAAAAAAATGAAAGATAGAATGAAAAAAAAAAAAATTGAAATAAAGAAAAAAAAAAAAAAAAAAAAAAAAAAAAAAAAAAAGAAAGATTAAAACAAAATGAAAAAAAAAAATTCTGAAGAATGAATGAAAGAAATATGAAAAAATGAAGAATTTTAAAAAAAGAAAAAAAGAATGAAAGAAAAAATTTTTCAAAAAAACAAAAAAGTTGAAAAAAAATATTTTGAAAAAAATGGAAAGAAAAAAAGAATAAAATGTCATTTTATAAAAGAGACTAACAACAAATTCAAATAGAACAAGAAAGAAATGGAATGAATGTCAAAAAATATTAATTAAGACAGGAAAAATTTTCAGAAAAATGGCATTTAAATTTCCAATTTTTTGTTTTTCTAATTTTTTTACAAAAAAATGCAAATAAATATTAAATCATGTCTTGCCTGTTTTTTTTGTTTATTTTTTTTTTTATTTTTATTTTTTTTTTACACGGTATTGATATTTGTAATTTAAACTGGAAATTCCTCACCTCGAAATGTAAAAAGATTTTTCTCTCCTATTTTTTTTTCTGAAGGCAGGAAAAAACCCTTTTTTGGTGCTATTTTTTTTCAGAAATCAAACCAAAACTATCTTATTCATTTTAATGCTAAAAAGAAAGTCCACCTACCGATTTTAAAAAAATAAAAGAAAAAAAAAATTTCCAAAATTTGAAAGAAATCTTAAAAAAAATGAAAAAATATCACCGATATTAAAGTGAATGTTTGATAAAAGTAATTAATTACATGATTACAAATGATTAAATTACAATCCCTATCGCTCTGTTCAGACTCCTCCCAATTTAAACAGGAAAAAGAGGTTTAAAATATAAAAATAAACTAAAACTTCTCTTTTTTTTAAAAGAAAGTAACCCCTATAAAATAATATGACAATATCACCATTATTATCTTTAAATAAGAATTCAAATCAAAATAAGGCAGGAGTGCCACTAGCACGCAAAAAATTTTACAGAGGATTGAGAAGAAAGAAAAAGAGGTTAGTTTGAGAAAAATGTACAGAAAGGACGAATAAAAAAATTTCATGGTGTCAGATGTCGATTGAAAATTTTTTGAAATATTTTAAAATTATAATCATCAATAAAAAAAAATAAAGAAAGAGTTGCAAAACAAAAAAAGTGCGAGATAAGAAACTGTTTTGAAAAAGAGACGATAAATTTAATAAACAGTGAAAAAATTTGAGACCGATATGCCAGCCAAGTAATTTTTTTAAAATTTTATCCAGACTGAGAACCAGTGAAAAAAGCTCGTTGGAAAGTTTAAAACAAAAATACTTGTAGAAAAAAGACAAAGGGAAGCCATGGCAAATGTTATAATTTTCTTTGACTAATTTTAAAATCAGAACCTTTCATATTGCATATTTGTATCTTTTAAAATGTCGAGGAATACATCGAGACAAATCATAAAAAATTTACAGACCATATTAAAAATATTATATTATTCAAGAACGGATGGTTGACATAGATTTGAAAGATGGACTCAAATTAAAAAACTTTCTGGTACGACACATAGAATTTTGCTTTTCTAGATGAAGCCATAGATTCAATGTATTTATTTATTATAATATGTGTCAAAATACAGCGTGAAGATTAGAAATTTTAGCAAGGCGCTCTCGTATTTTTTCTTATTAGCCATCCTGATTACAAAATTGAAAGAAACTTTTTAATCTTAAAATAAAGGAAAGCAATTTGTTTTTTTCAATTTTTATAAAATTTCCTGCCCCAAAATCGTTAAGATTTAAAGGTCCTTTTCAAGATCATCAACCAGGTTAAATTTTTTAAAAATTTTTACTATAAAAAACCAAACTATCCATTTTAAATTGTTACTGCTGGAAATGGTAGTTCTTATTTTATGTTTATTCTCGTATTTGGTACAGTTTTTTGTGATTCAATTTACCAGTCCACAATGTTTAAAGGGCGGTTTTACCAAAAAATTTGTTCAAAACCCATTTTTCATTGATTGATCTTAGAAAGATATTTTGTATAAAAATGGCAGTTTTGTTGACAATATTCACCATTGTCTATGAATATAAAAAAATTTTTCAATAAATAAATTTTTCAATGAAACAACGTTAAAGATTAACACTCAAAATCAAGACAAACAATGAATCTGAAAGAAAATACCACAAAAACCACCAAAGAAATTTCATTTTGTTCTTCAAAGTTTCGATATCAAAGGCTAATTGACCAGATATTTTAAGCCATATTTAAGTATATTTTATAACTATATTTATTTTTTGCCAAAATCAAGATTGATTCCATTTAAAAATTTGTCCTCTTCGGCCAGATTCCAAAAAAAAAAAAATTGCTGTTATTCTTCTACTTTTTCGCCTTTAACTAATTGAATTTTTGGTTTTATTTTTTCTAATTTGGCAGCCCTGCACCAATCATATGGAAAAAATTAAAAACAATGTAGAAATGATGTTACATGTAATTTTGTTTTGTAAATAAATTTTTTCATATTTAAATTTTCAATTTATTCAAATAATATTATTCTTTGAATTAGAACTGGAGATAAACCATATATGTTCACCATTGTCTATGAATATAGAATACAGCACAGTACGTAATCTGTTCAATGAAACAACGTTAAAGATTAACACTTACGAGTCAGACACTCTACTGAATCTGACTATATCGCCAATACCACCAGCAATTGTTCCGTAATTCTTCAGTCTTCGATATCAAAGGCTTCCAGTGAATGAATAATGGGAAAAAATGGCCGCCTTTTTATACGCGTCGCATTGAATATTTTTGCCTTTGATTGGTTAACTCTTCTATTGATGAACTATAAAATGATTATTATTTTTAACTGTCTCAATCAAAAAAATTACCCTTGAATTTAAAGTTTTGATATTTATGAACGGGTTCAATGCCATGCAATCATCCATTTCAAATATCTTTCGAGACTTTTTTGATCAAAAAAATAAAAAATTAATTCCATATTTTGTTTTGATTTTGTAACACTTTGCGGTATTGTTCGAAACTATCTCTGGATCAGCCTGCTTTATGTTCAATTTTTTTTTCTCCTAAGTAAATTTATTATAATTGATCCATACCCAATGGTATTTGAAGCGTTTACTATTTAGTAACACCACACCCTGAATTTTTAGGATGGATTCAGCGTATATGCCATCACTGCTTTCATTCTAACTCTAGATTATACATACTTGTTCAAATTAATTAAAACAAAACGAATAATTCCGTTATTATTTACTTTTTTTTTCGTATTTTTCCAATGAAACATAACCCAGTGAACATGTTAGTGCTTTGTATGTCCATTCCACGAAGTCGTTCCTTGCAGATTGACCCCAAATTCTCGATTGGATTTAAATCAGGAGAGTTGCCAGTCTATAGTACTTTGATTTACTCCTTGGTAAGGCGACTGCGTTGTTTCAGCGCAACAATTTTCGTACGCTTCTTTGAAGTAACGCCCATCGCAGACAGTGGCCGTAGGACGGCTAATCGACAGTCGAGACAATAGTCTTTGGGCATGATGAATATGTGATGTAATCACAGATGACGCAATATTTTTCAAGGGCAAACAAATTTCATCATAAACCCCGAAAATAGGCTCATATTACTGCCCACTACTGCAAAAGTCCAAAGGAAATAAGAGAAATCGATTACATCCTGTCACCCCAGTGAGTCTAAAACTGACCCTAGGGTAAAAGAAAGGAAACTGAAGAGGTTGTTTCAATTAATTATATCTATATATATATATCTTCATATCTATCTATCTATCTATCTAGAATATCACTCCATGTTACCCAAACTTTACGGTCTCCCTAACCCCCACAAAACAGGATTCCCAATACGCCCAGTAAAATAGAAATCGATTACACCCTGTCACTCCAGCGCGTGTAAAACTGGCCGTATGGTGAAAGAAGGGAGATTAAGCGGTTGTTTCAATTAATTTGCACAAGTGTGTATGTATCTTTCTTAATCTATCTATCTATCTATCTATCTATCTATCTATTAGGTTGGTGCAAAAATAATGACGTAATAATGTCGTTTTTTGACGTATTTTTTAACGTCAAAAAAAAGACATTCTTACGTCATTATTTTTGCACCAACGTAATATCTATCTATCAAAAATAGATTTATATTACTGCAAACCTGTCTTAAATATCTTGTCGGAATTAAATAACCATTTGAGATTAATATGTCGTAAAAGAAAATGATTCAAACCGAATTAATTCAGTGAAGCCAAATCTTAGAAGGCGGTTTCTCATGGATAAGAACAATTAATGCTGTCACATGCTGCTGTCACATGGAAAGGACTGTAAACAGTCAAATGATTATTTTGCGTAGCAATGGCGACGTTCGGAAGTAACTTGGTACATAACATAAAAAAGTGTTGTGATAAAAAGTAATAAAAACGATGGAATAAATTAAAGAATGAATTATAATATTTTTCAGTGTTTTTAAAGTTTTTTATGTGCCGTGTTCCTTCAGCAGGTAAGCGATCATGGCTCTCCACAACTTCCTGTTTTTTGCTGCACTGAGTAAGATTTTACTTTCTGCTACCTCACCTTCTAGTCTCCGTTCGGCCAACCATTTAAACAAACTCGTTAGTTAGTTAGGTCACTCGCCGCTTTCTACTGTTCATCTTGCTTTCAGTATAACCTGTGAGTGTCAAATTCTACAAGCCCATTTTCCTCATTATGTTCCCTAGAAATTTCAGTTTTCTCTTTCTAATTATAAGTGTCCGTTATATTTCCATTTTCCGCAAAACTTCGTCCGAACTCACATGTTCAATTCGTGACATTCTCAGCATCCTCCTGTAGAGTCATACGTCTTGCTTAACCTCTTTTTTCATAGGTGAGGCGATTATCTAGCATTTCCGGCAAATATAAGAGAACTGGTATTATATAACAGTTCAGTACCATTTTCTTTTATTCTAACGAAGGTACTTGTTTTTTCCTAATACTTTTTTTAGTTTTTGGAAGGCATCGTTCGACATTCGGATGCAACTTCGGATTTCGGTGTCACATTTTGCGTCCTCTGTTAAAGCACTTCCTATATATTGAAATTTCCGTAGTTTCTTGATTCTGACATCTCCAATTGCCAGTTCTTGGGGTGTCCCTTTTGCTAACAACCTTAAATTCAGAGGTTACTTTCAATTTAAGAAAGAAGCTAATTGTTTTGACTTTACTTGACGTTGAACCTTTCATATACATGAAAGATTTTGTCAGATAGTTCCGGCTTTCCCCCACCAATTTATTGTGAGTGAGACAGTAGGTTAGCAACCCTGTTGGATAGAAAATAAGTCTCATCAAAATGAGGAATTACTCTTGATAAGTCAACGGACAGATAACTAGAGGTAGTGTCTCAATAAAATCACTGTGAAAACCACTCTATCCAAAAATTTAAATATTAATCAATTTTTACAGAAAAAACTTATAAAGTCTACTTCTTATTCGTTTTTATAAAAATATAAAAATAAATCTTTTATCATTTCGAGATTAATTTATTCTTTATGGTTTATCAATTTTTTGCTGGTTATTTACAGTTAGAAAATAGTTTTAAATTTTAAGAAATTGGCGAGATATTAATAATTAAATGATAAAAGTACTACTTGTTAACCTATAGCTGGAGGGAGAAGAGGTGGATTCATACATTATCGCTGAGTATTTGCGCGTAAGTGAATACAACGAACCCAACTGGAATTGGAACTCGGCTCACCGATTAACAATTACGAGCCATTAGCTTACAGCACCTAATATCCCGAAGCGGTCACCTATCTAGATACTGACCGGGCTCGAGGTTGCTTAACTTCGTTGATCCTGCGATGACCTGTGTTTCAACGTGAAATGGCCTTAAGTACTTTCGTTTTACAAGCACGCGTCAGTTTTAGGCTCCAAAGTTTTTTGATTTTCTATTACGGTCAAGTTATTTGTCAATTCATTCTCTTTGAAGTTCTTGCTTTAATACCTGATACGGCATATTTACAAACTGCCTTATCTCCATTCGTTAAGATATTATTGTAACAAGTCGAGGTTGTACGTGACAGAGAACTGTTGGAATTGCCCGGTAAACTTGACATACTTGAGATTGATATTAGAATAATCCAGACCCTATACGAGAAGCAAACCATTTTTATCTTTATTTTTAAGTGAATCTATGGATCATAATCCCGAATCTTAAAATCCCGAAATATAGAAAGCCTGAATTTTAAAATCCAGAAATTGTAAAATCCTGAATTTTGAAATCCAGAATTTATAAAATTCCGAAAGATCAGAATCTCGAAATTTAAAATCCTGAAAGATTAGAATCCCGAAATTAAAAATCCTAAAGAGATTAGAATCCCGAAATTTAAAATCCTGAAAAATCAGAATACTGAAATTTAAAATCCTGAAAAATCAGAATCCTGATATTTAAAATCTCGAAAGATCAGAATCCCGAAACTTAAAATCCTGGAAGATTAGAATCCCGAAATTTAAAATCCTGGAAGATTAGAATCCCGAAATTTAAAATCCTGGAAGATTAGAATCCTGAAATTTAAAATCCCGAAAGATCAGAATCTCGAAATTTAAAATCCCGAAAGATCAGAATACCGAAATTTAAAATCATGAAAAATCAGCATACCGAAATTTAAAATCCCGAATGATTAGAATCCCGAAAATTTAAAATCCCGAAAAAATCAAAATTCCGATATTTAAAATCCCGAAAGATCAAAATCCCTATATTTAAAATCCGAAAAGATCAGCATCCCGAAATTTAAAATCGCGAAAGATAAAAATCCCTATCCTTAAAATCCCGAAATATCAGAATCCCGAAATTTAAAATTCCGAAGGATCAGAATTCCGAAATTAAAAATCCTAAAGGTTCAGAATCCCGATATCTAAAATTCTGAATCATCAGAATCCCGAAAAATAGTCTTTGGCAGAAATTGAAAAAAAAATTGAAATACCTTTATTTTTAAATATTTGAAAAATAGCGTTTAAATAGTTTTATACATTTGAAACATTCAAAATTCAGTAAAAAAATATAAAACCAGAAGATGGCATTGGCGATGGGAAAATTTAGTTGGCAAAAATAATTAACATGTTGAAGTTCCACACTACTTCAATCAGAAGGGTAGGAAGGAAACTCCGGTCAGGCACATTTTGTGTTCGTTCAACATCCACAGAGTCCACCTGGGGTTTATACTGCAACGATGCTGAGCAGACCTTAGTTACAGTTTCTGGGAGAGTAGGCGTTATCTAGCGTGATCAACTGTCCGAACAAGGCCCGACCGCTCAAATGCTCAGTCGGTGTTTATTGCATTATTGGAGAGTTTCAAATGAGCCACAATATGTAGAAAACGAATATGAACGCATTCTCTGAGGAGAGTCTTGTCCAAAAAGAAAAATAAATGTGTGTTTTATCATAATGAAAGGGATAAAAATATAGTTCACGATTGTGAAAACCAACCAGATCTGATGGAATATCTCAGGGCTCTTCTTCATAATCTTTCATTATAAATTATTCATATATTCTGGTTTTATACCTTGTATTCGCAGCTAGTTATAAAAAAGTGACATAGTCTCTCTTAGAAATACTGAAATATCCTTAACACATAGGTGACAAAGCATGGTTTAACTCCACTCTACAGACAACAGCCTTTTTCCTACGTTGACCTGGTCCTATGCCTCTCTGTGTCGCACTCTGTTTTTTTCTCTCTACGTACCTCTTACGCGTTCTGCTTTACTCTTCATATTTCGATGTCTTTCTGTTTCTCTCTCGGTCGCTCGACACAGTCTGGGTTTAAGAGGATTTTTGAGTAGAACATCATCTGTTTTTTTATGTTACAAAATGATTATATTATAAATATTAATGAAAGATTTTAATTTCAAAAGGTCACTTGCAGTTCAGAATCGAATTTGCAGTCAAAACATCGTTAGGTCACGAAATTTCATTTAACCTCGAGCTACAAACAACAGCATGGGTGCGTGGCCGAGCGGCTAGAACGTTCGAATTGTTAACATGAGATCCGGCTTCGAATCTCAAAAAGGTCGATCTGTCAGGAAGGAGACTTCCTGATATTCTTGGACTGGAGGGGTGTCTGAAAACCATACCACGGGTTGACCCAAGGCTTGTGAGTGAAATTGGGTAGACGTAACGCTAGAACGAAGCCACATGACCTTGCTGATCACGCTAGATAATAAGTTTTTTTTTCCCAGAAACAGTAACTAAGGTTTGCTCAGCATATTTGCAGTATAAACCACAGGTGGGCTAAACATAAATGTGCCTGAGCAAGCGTCTGCAACAGGGATTGGCTAGTAGACGGGTATCCTCGAATACGAGTGGCCAACTATACTTATATAGAAACAACAGGAATTATCTCATGTCATGCCCTGCCACTCCCTCTTTGTGTTGCGGTCTCATTTTATCACTCTACGCACCCCCGCATCTTTCTCTTTCTATTTTACTATGTCCCTCTCTCTTTTTGTCTACCTACCCAACGCCTCTCTGTGTAGCAATATCTTTTTGTCCCTCTCTCTATCTATCTCTGTTTTACTCTCTATGCCCCCCTCTCTCTCTCTTTGTCTCTCCAAAGGCTCTCCGTGTTGCATTCTATTCTTGTCTCTCTTCGTCCCTCTCGCTCTTTTTGCCCCTCTCTATGTCCCTCTCTCTTTCATTTCGTTTATTCAAACTCTTTTTGACTATCTACGTCCCTATCTCTCTATCTCTTTCTGTTTTACTCTTTAAGCCCCCTCCCCTCTCTCTCTCTCTCTCTCTCTCTGTCTATCCAATCCCTGTCCATGTTGCATTCGTTTTTTGTTTCTCTCAGTCTCTTCCTCTTTCTGTTTTATGCTCTATACACTCCCTCTCTTTCTTTTTGTCTATACAAAAGCTTTCTGTGTAGAAGTCTCTTTTTGTCTCTATTTACGTCTCTCTTTCTCTCTCTCTCTTTCAGTTTTACTCTCACTATCCCTCTCTCATTCTGTTTATCCAAACCCTCTCTGTGTTCCACTTTCTTTTTCCTTTTCTCAGCCTCCCTCTTTCTGTTTTACTCTTTTTGTCCTTCTCTCTTTCTCTTTTCTTATGCTGATCCTCTTTGTGTAGCACTCTCTTTTGGTCTCTCCCCCTTACCCCTCTCTCTCTCTTTCTCTCTCTCTCTTTCTCTCTCTTTCTTTCTCTCTCTCTTTCTGCTTTACTCTCTATGTCCTTCTTTCTTTCTGTTTGACTATCTAAATACTCCGTGTAATAATAATAATAATAAGGGCTTTGTCTATGTCATTTTTTTTTTTTTGTCAGTGGAAAGTGTCATGATGCCATTTCTAACATTAGGTCCCTGGGCGGGACCCGGAAAGAAATGTGTAAACGCCAGAAATCAAAAGAAATAAAAGTAATAATAATAAT